ACAGGGGATTTGCCACATTTCTGAAATTCGGTGCCACCCCTCACGCAGATCCGCGGGGTCAGGGTCCAAAACACATGGGATTTGCCACATTTCTGAAATTCGGTGCCACCCCTCACGCAGATCCGCGGGGTCAGGGTCCAAAAACATAAGGGATTTGCCACATTTCTGAAATTCCGTACCACCCCTCACGCAGATCCGCGGGGTCAGGGTCCAAAAAACACAGGGGATTTGCCACATTTCTGAAATTCGGTGCCACCCCTCACGCAGATCCGCAGGGTCAGGGTCCAAAAACACAGGGGATGTGCCATATTTCTGAAATTTGGTGCCCCCCCTCACGCAGATCCGCGGGGTCAGTGTCCAAAAACACATGGGATTTGCCACATTTCTGAAATTCGGTGCCACCCCTCACGCAGATCCGCGGGGTCAGGGTCCAAAAACACATGGGATTTGCCACATTTCTGAAATTCGGTGCCACCCCTCACGCAGATCCGCGGGGTCAGGGTCCAAAAACACAGGGGATTTGCCACATTTCTGAAATTCGGTGCCACCCCTCACGCAGATCCGCGGGGTCAGGGTCCCAAAACACAGGGGATTTGCCACATTTCTGAAATTCGGTGCCACCCCTCACGCACATCCATCGCAAGGCGTGGTAACCCAAACTGCGAGTACTCCCTCGGCCCTTTAATCCCAAGGTGTGGTAACCAAGCTCGTAAACCATACACGTCTTACCAATCGCCCTGTGTGGTAACCCCTCTTGTGATCAGGTGGTTTTGCCGATTGCGAGTCGGCCTCGCATGAAGTTCCGATACTGACTTAGCTCTTCCATGGCCCATTCTCCGAGAGAGGGGGCCGGCGGCAGGGGGCGAAGCCCTTACGGATAACATTATTATAGCGGCGATGCCAGACAAGGCAACAAGGAGTTATCGCTAATTTGTCGGTTTCACCTTCCTGCGATTCCGCCTGCATACCAAACTTCAAGGACCGAGGTGCATGGCGCGAAGCGCAACTGCAGTCTTGTGTATGTATATATGTATATATATACATATATAATTATATACATATATATGTGTGTGTTTGTCTTTCTCTCTCTCTCTCGTTGATGTGACCTTGGCGCAGCTGCATGCCCAGGCAATGTGCACAGCTGTGCCAGGTTCACCACATCTGTCGCACTCTCCAAAAACCTGGCAGCCGCAGCTGCATGTCCAGACACTGTGCCAAGCAGTGCCAGGTTCACTACAGCTGTTGCAGTTCCCAAGAACCTGGCAGCCCCACTTTATGATGCGGCCCCCGTGGGCAGGGACCCGCCAAACAACTTACGAAAGCGGACCTTGTCAAGGTGGCTCCACTCACCTTTGGAAGACGCGAGCACCTTACGCGCGATCTCCCACCAAAAACCCTTCGACTCGATATTCTCAGATTCCAAGACTTGTTACAATTCACGCGGGGTTGCTTCTAACAGCCGAGGGTAAACTTCCGTGAGATTCACAAGACCCCTCCTCCTCACAGACGAAGCTCCCGCCTGAGACGACCATCTCATTCAATCCCGAGGAGCCGAAAAATGACGACATTAGAAGTTTCCGATGACCCGCTCGGATTACCAACATGAATTGCGGGCCCCATAGGGAGGGGGCTCTCGCCTGAGACTTTCTCACAATTCACTCACAAGCAAAGCTCCCGCCCGATACTTCCCCCATGTTCAGTCCAGAAGAGACGCATAACAATGACAGTTACAAGTTCCCGATAACCCACTCGGATTAGAAACATGAAAGGCGGACCCCATAAGGAGCTGAGACTTCTTCGCACCTCACTCACTGACGAAACTCCCGCCTGAGATTTCCTCCACATTCAGACCGAAGGATACGAAAACTAACGACAGTTATAAGTGTCAAATGGCCCGCTCGGATTGCCAACATGAAATGTGGACCCCATAGGGAGAACGTTCCCGCTTGAGACTTCCTCGAAATTCAATCACCGACGAAGCTCCCGCCTGAGACTCCCTCCACATTCAATACACAGGAGCAGAAAAAATGACGACGGTGACAAGTTTCCGATGACCCACTCGGATTAAAAACATGAGACGCGGGACCCATGGGCAGGTGGATCCCGCCTGAGACTTCCTCGCAAATCACGCACAGACGAGGCTCCCTGTTGGTCAACGATGAGGATGGTATGGTGGTAGTGGTGAATGTGTGATGATAGAGATGGTAATGGTGAGTGGTGGCGAGTGATGATTAGCTGATGACGACGGTGAGTAATGATGATGAAGTGGAGCCGAGGGTGTGCGTGCGCGTGTGTGCGAGCATGTGCTGGGGATTAAGAATGCGTGTGTGTACTGATGATGATGATGATGATGATGATGATGATGATGATGATGATGATGATGATGATGATGATGATGATGATGATGATGATGGCAATGATGATGATGATGATGGTGGTACTGATGATGATGAATGCGATAGTGATTGGGATCGTGATGAACGTGGTTATCGCATTGTCGTCGCGCAAGTTGGTTCAAACAGGAAACGCAAGCGTTTTACACATTGCAGACGGGTGAACTTCAAAATGTGGCACTCGCCGTCGCGCCGCGCCCACTCGTCCCAAACAGTTGCAAGAGGTTCACGAGCTCCCACGGCTAAGGTACCAGAAATGGTGTTAGAAAAGGGTTCAGGACTGTCAGGATGGGTGCCTGGAGCGACGCAGGATCGTCAATACGCAACAATTAGGTTGATTCGTGGCGCTGAAATTCCGAAAGTGATGCGTTAGTGCGTCTCGGGATCTTCGAACGAATGTCTCCCAACGGGCCGCTTGCTTCAGTGGAAGTGAATCTTGTAGGGGCACATGGGGGGACAGTTTGGAGGGAGGGCGTATTCCAACATCGTTGCTGGGTCTGGGGTTGACACTGGTCCTCCACCTCCTCCGCCTCCTCCTCCTTCTCATGCTCCTCCTGCTCTTCCTCCTCCTCCTCCTCCTCCTCCTCCTCCTCCTCCTCCTCCCCCTCCTCCTCGTACTCCTCCTCCTCCCCCCCCCCTCCCCCACCTCCCTTCTCCCCCTTCGATATCTCAATCGTCCGCCGTCCCTCGTCTCTTCTCCTCCTCCTCCTCCTCCTCCTCCTCCTCCTCCTCCTCGTCCTTCTCCTCCTCCTCCTCCTCCTCGCCCTCCTCCTCATATTCCTCCTCCTCCTCCGCCTCCTCGTCCTCCTCCTCCTCCTCCGCATCCTCTCATTATTCTTCTTAGTAAGATGAGTATTGCTAGTAGTATTATTATTTTACTAGTATTAGTGGTATTAATACTATTATTCGTAGAATTATTAGTGGTGGTATTATTATTCGTAGTATGATGATTATTAGTATTATCAGTAATACGATTAGTATTAATACGATTACTCAAGTTTTTAATCTTAAAGTATAGTATTAGTAGTATTGTTGTTGGCATTGTTTTATGAATAGTATTGCTACTCGTCTTATTCATCGCATTATTATTGGTATTGTTCTTTGACTTATGATTACTGATAATATTCGCTGCAGTCGCATTATTCTTATTAGTGGCGCTATTAATAATAGTCTTCTTCTTATCAGTAATATTAGTATTCGTCTTACTAGTGGTATCAATAGTTTGATTATGCGTCGCATTAATCTTCTTGTTCTGAGTATTATTGTTAGTACGATTAGTCGCGCAATTATTATTAGTCGTATCATCAGTTGTATGAGTATTCTTCTCACTAGTACTATGAATATCAGTAGGATCATTATGAGCAGCACTCTTCTTCTTAATTGTATTATTAGTAGTAGCATTATTAGTAGCATTCGTATTAGTAGTAATATTTTTTAATGTTACCATTATCAATACTAGTGTTGTTAGTAGCCTTACTGGTCGTACTATAATCTTATTAGTAGTATTAGTATTCTACGTAATGATAGTATTGATATTCTTAGTGGTTCTACTATGACGGTTCGTATTATTAGTAGTAGTATCAGTATTATGATTATTAGTGTTATTACTCTTCTTACCCGTCGTATCATTAATATTATGATTAGTGGTACGATTATTGATATTCGTATTCTTAATAGTATTCGTACTTTAATTATTCGTCCTCCTCCTCATCCTCCTCCTCATCCTCCTCCTCCTCCTCCCCCTCCTCCTCCTGCTCCTCCTCCTCCCCCTCTTCCCCCTCCTCCTCCTCCTCCTCCTCCTCCTCCTCCTCCTCCTCCTGAGCCTCCTCCTCCTCCTCCTGCTCCTCCTCCTCCTCCTGCTCCTCTCCTCCTCCTCCTCCTCCTTCTCCTCCTCCTCCTCCTCCTCGTCCTCTTCCTCCTCCTCCTCATCCTGCTCCTGCTCTGCTCCTGCTCGTCCTCCTCCTCCTCCTCCTCCTCCTCTTCTCCTCCTCCTCCTCCTCCTCCTCCCCTCCTCCTCCTCCTCCTCCTCCCTCCCTCCTCTCCTCCTCCCCTCCTCATCCTCCTCCTGCTAGTCCCTCTCCTCGTCTCCTCGTCTCGTCCTCCTCCTCCTCCTCCGCCTCCCCTCCTCCTCCTCCTTCCTCCTCCTCCTCCTCCTCCTGCTCCTCCCCTTCTCCTCCTCCTCCTCCTCATCCTCCTCCTCCTCCTCCTCCTGCTCCTCCTCCTCCTCATCCTCCTCCCCCCCTCCCCCCTCCCACCTCCCACCTCCCACCGCCCACTTCCCACCTCCTCCTCCTCCTCCTCCTCCTCCTCCTCCTCCTCCTCCCCCTCCTCCTCCTCCTCCTCCTCCTCCTCCTCCTCCTCCTCCTCCTCCTCTTCCTCCTTCCCCTCCCTCCTCCTCCTCCTCCTCCCCTCTTCATCCTTCCTCCTCCTCCTCCTCCTCCTCCTCCCCCTCCTCCTCCTCCTCCTCTCCTCCTCCTCCTCCTCCCTCCCTCCCTCCCCCTCCCTCCCTCCCTCCCTCCCTCCCTCCCTCCCTCCCTCCCACCTCCTCCTGTGGCCCGCCCCCAGCGCGGCAGCTACCGACCTGCCCCCGGCGGGCCCGGGCCCCGCCTGCACGACCGCGGACACAATTGTCCCGCATGCGCGCTCGAACGCCTCGGCGCGCGGCGGCAGCATCGCATCGGGAAATCGGGCCGATTCGAGAAGAAGGGAAGGAGGAAACGGGGACGGAAAAGGAGGGAAAGGGAGGGCGGGACGGAGGAGTGGACGGAGGGAGGGAAGAACAGGAGCAGGAATTGCCACACGACGGCAACAGCTCGAAAAACGTAAGGTTGATGACGGGCTGCCTTCTCGGCAGGGAAAGAACCCAAAAAACGTGGGGGACAAGTTTCTTTCTTTCGCAACCCTGGAGCGCGCAGCGCTGGACCATCTTTCACGTAACAAGGTGCCAGTTCCTGCCAGTTCCTGCCGAAGCAACTCTTATACCGACCGCCGGGCGGACCGACAAGAGAAGCGGCCCAGGGGCGGAACAGGCACGGGTCGGAGAGCGAGGAGCCGAGGAGCGAGAAGGGGGAGGAAGAGGGGGAAGGACGACGACAGGCAAGGACAGGCCAGGCCGACAACGGGAGGGACGGGGGGAGGGGGAGCCAAGAAGGAGAGAAAGGGGGAAGGCACAAAACACAAGAGGGGGGGAGGAAACACAAGAGGAAGCCAAAGCGGAGTAAACGGGGAAGAAGAGGGGGGGAGGGACGGGAGCCAGGAGCCACACCGCGAGGCGAACGGGACACGCAGGGCCAGCGGGCCAGGGAAAGACCAGGCCCGACGGGCAACATTCGCGCCCGCATCGGCTCGGTTCGTCTTCCTGCGTTCCCAGACCCCCTCGGGCAGTGAAAAAATCATAGCGGGAGGTTTTTTGCTGTTTTCGGCCTCTGGGGGCCCTTGCCGGCCCTCCAGACCGTCCACAAAACGCCTCGGGATGGAAAGCCCGTCCCAGGGAATGTGTCCGGACCGCTGGGGGTCGCGTCATGAAAAAATCAGGACGTCGGGGGTCTGGGTTTGTGGTTTTGAAACTTGAAAAGAATGCGCCGATCCGGCGCGTGAATTTGAAAAAGTTCCAGGTACAGCCTACAGCTTAGAGCCTGAGCTTCAGCTATGCTGGGGGGGGGCGGGGGGACTCTGCCGGGGAATGAGGGGGGGGGGGAGGGACGAGTTGTGGTGCGTTTTTCGGGTGGGCACTTTGTGGGCCCACGAGGGCCCCAAGACGGCCCCAGAAACCCCCGAGACGCCCACAGAGCGTTCCAAAACGCCGAAGATGACCTCCAGACGGCCCAACAGGCCGCCGAGACGCTCCAATAATCCTCCCAGAGCCCTCAGAAGAGGACCCGTAAAGGTCAAAAACATTAATCTTACGATGGTTTGGGAAAGATTCTGGCCTTTCCGCCTTTTCAATGACGCGCAAAACAGCCCCAGAGGCCCCCCAGATCGCCCCAAGACTGCCCAAGAGACTCCCGAAATGGCCCCAAGACGGCCCACGAGAGCCCAAATGGCCCAAGACTGCCCAAAAAATACTCACTGCGCGGAGCTCCCCATATGTGCATCCTGTATGAACGGGAATATTGTATTTGGGATATTTTCATGGACATTTAGCCATATGAGCCAGATGTGCACCTCATATTGCAGGGTACTGCTATGGTGAACATATATATATATATATGATAGTTTTGTTATGAGGGCGAGTCTACGTGAGCAACGAGCACACGCGCGCGCAGCTCGGCTGCACATCCAACACATGTAGACGTTTATCCGCAAGCATCTATCAGCGCATCATTTCTGCCAAAGCAAAGAATTCATTGGCACTGCGTCGCAAGCACCGTGGCAGAGATCGTTCGCTTGTGCCGTCCACACCAAGATGGGGCTACCTAGTCCCACCAGCCCTCTGGGCGAAGGTGGTCTAGAGCGTTTCCGTTTCCAGCCTCCCTGATATACCTCCCCCCCTCCTCCATAGGTTGGGACGGCGCGGTCCCGAGGGGTTAGAGGGTCCTTTTTGGAGGTTCTGGGAATAGGGTGGTAAACGTTGTGGGCGTTACAAGGCGTTCCAAATGCTTGAATGGCATAGCATGGCATAGCATGCCATAGCATGGAATAGCATGGCACAGCATTAGCACAGCATAGCATGGCGAGGCAAAGCGAGAAGAGTCTAGGCTTCGTGCAATTGCGAATGGAATTCGTTCTTTCGTAGGGGAAGCGGACCCCCGAGCCGAAAATCATAAAAAGCATGAAAAAGAAACAACAAACACACATTTGTTATATTTTAAATGTATATATGTGTGTATATATATGTATATATATATACACTAGAACCACGCGCGCGCTTCGCGCGCGCTTAGGTTCTAATGCAGGCCCAACCGCTGCGAAAGTACGGAAGTCATTCATGCTGCGATGTTTATCGAGGTTGACACCTTCTTGCGTTGCATTTGTGAGCCCCCCCTCTTCCCCTACCTCCCCAGTTGTGTCCTCATCCTCATCATCACACCCTTCCACATCCTCATCCTCCAAAACGGTTGAGGACGGCCAAAGCAGTCATCCTCACACCGACAACGTCCTCCTCCTCCCCCTCGTCATCTTCCTAACATTATCATCATAATCAGAATCAGAATCATAATCAGAATCATCATCATCATCATCATCATCATCATCATCATCATCATCATCATCAGCATCAGCATCAGCATCATCATCATCATCATCATCATCATCATCATCATCATCATCATCATCATCATCAACATCATCATCATCAGCCGCAGAACCATCGTCATCATCATCATGATCATGATCACGAACATGAAGATCATCATCATCAACATCATCATCCCTGGTATTCCGTTTGAAACGTGAGTGATCGTGGCGAGCTTGTTGTCGAAGATCAGTTTCTGGCGGCCTCGCGGCGCGACACGGTGCTTCGGAAATTGGCGTCTCTTAAGGGCTTCTCTGGGTGCTCTTGGGGGCTTGTGGGCGGGCTTTCGGGGTTTCGTGGGAGCCACTCGGCGCCGAGGGCCCGAGATGTTGTCGGATTTGAGACGTCTTCGGAGCCTTTGGAACCGCCTTGCAAGCCTCTGGGGCTGGTTCCGGGCCCTGTCGGGCTATTTTTGGGCTCTCTCGGGGGCCTCTTGAGTAGTCTGGGGGCGCTCTTGGAGGCGTCTCCGGCCGTCTTCGAGCGTTGGGAACCCGAAAAAGCGAGACAGCGAACATCCTTGAAAACATGTCAAAAAAATCATTGGATGTTGCCGTTCGGCTCTTTGGGGGAGTTTGTAGAGGCTCCTTCAGGCGTCTCTTGGGCCGTCTCTTAGGCTGCGTTGGGGGGCCTCTGGAGGCCTCTGGGGCATCTCTTAGGCTGTCATGGGTGCCTCTTGGGCTGTCTTGAGGCCTCATGGAGGCGCCGGGGATGGGGTATCAAAAAAAAGGGGGGCCATGGTCTTCAGGTGGGCGGGGGGCTTTTGGTGGGTGCCCCCGCTGCCACCGCCACTCCTGCTGAAGCAGCTGTGGGCGCCGACGTTTTGCATTACCCCCCGAGCGCTCTCGGCCAGGCGCAGCTGCCGGAAAGCACCCCGAGCCGACAGAACCTTGAAGAACCCGCGAAAGCCGCCGGTAACCTGCCGAATCGATCAAAATAATCCCCGTTCGCTCCTGGGGTCCAATCGCGCGAATTCTTCGACGTGCGTCCAATCGTGGCGACGAGGAGGGCTACCTTGGGCGAGAAAACCTGGACCCTGGATCCTCGTCGTCGTCGTCGCCGTCGTCGTCGTCGTCGTCGCCGTCACCGCCGCCGCCGCCGTCATCGTCGTCGTCGTCGTCGGCGTCGTCGTCGTCGTCGGCGTCGTCTTGTTTCTTTTGCGTTCAATGCCGATGCTCGAAGTGGGCCTCCAGACCCCTCCCAGGGTCCGAACGCACCAGTTTCGTGAGCCGCGTTCAGCCGTCGCGACGAGCAGGGCCCCCCTAGCCTCGAGCCTCGATCCTCGAGGTTCCAGGTTCAAGCCTCGACGTGAACCTCGATGTGAAAGTCATGTTGGGTTTCCTGGGGCTCCCTCGTCGCCACGGCTGGGTCCGCCTCCAAGTTCTGGCCAGAACGCACCCTCCGGCGTCGCGAACCAATCATGACGACCGGTGTTCCTCGGCTTGGGCACAGGGCCTCTCCCCCGACGGCCCCGCTTCGGGCCCCATCGGATAAGGATACGGGATGAAAAAGCGACCCCCGGGAAGGCTCGAGAAGGTTCTCTCGTTCGGGTTCCGGGATCCATCGAAGGTCAATCCATGATGAGACGACGACGACGACGACGCCGCCCCCCATAGGGCGCGTGCATTTTGTCATGAAGATGAAACGTGCCCTGCAAGAAAACAGCGCCATTCGCAGCAAGGTCCTACGCTACTGGACGTTGTCCTCGTGGGCCGCTGGTCCACACGAGGTTGGGGGGGCAAGGTCCTTCGCTAGCTACAGCTCCCGCAATCCGTCTCCCGCGGGAGGGAAAGCGGGGCATGCTCTCATGACACGCTTCTGGCAACAGAACTACAGATGCACCAGGAAGTCTCTCACGGCACCGCGGGCCTGCCCAACGGCGGGGTCGGAGTTACACGACCCCTGCCAAGAAACAGCGCCACTCGCAATGCACCTCGCCGACGGACTCCCAGGCGGCTTTCAATGCCGCGAGCGCGAGAAGCCGTTCCACGTCTTCAAGAGGCATCCGATGGGGTCGCGAAAATAAAGAATCACATCGGACTGCGTGCTGGTCGTTTTCCATGGTACCCGGCCTGAGGACTGCGATCCAGTGGCCACCGCATGTAGGCGTCCGGAAGACATGCGCGACGGGACGATACAGGTTCTCGAACGTTGAATACGGGTGGAATGGCGCTTGTAATCGTTCCTGTATCTCGGCAGGGAGAAGCGGGAAAAGTTTGATATCGACCCGGTCGAAGTTGCTGGCCAGAACGGCGACATCGCAATTACTCCCCATGGGGTCTACGAGGTGGCCAACCTGATCTCTCACCCGAGCTTGCAATGCTACTGACTCGAATGCTTCTCGACTTGTGGCGCGGAATGCCCGACCCACGAAGATGTCCCGCGCAGCTGCGACATGGTTGAAGGCGTGCAGTCCGCACGT